CCCCTCCATGACCCCAATCCCACCCCTTCAGGACCCTAACCCCACCCTGGGGCAGGCTGCATACCCTGGTCTGGCCACCCCCACAGCCTGCTCCTGCCCTTCCTCCACCCTCCCAACAGCCTGGAGGCCTCCCCCCGCTCTGGCAAAGCCGCTACTGACCTGAGCGTTCGGAGGCTGGAGGAGGGTTTGTCGTCCCTTGGGTCTTCCTCCTAAGTGCCAGCACGAGGGCTTTGTGGAGGCTGGAGGGGTCTGAGGCCCCCAGGGACGCACAGCTCCCCTGCCACCGTGCCTGGGCCCGGATCCTGTCTCTCAGCTGCTCCAGCCGAGGGTCACTCTTTCTGGGCTGCCTCCGGGGCCCCAACACCTGGGGCGGCCTCTCCTTCCAGGACACATGCTCCTTGTGGCCCCCTGAGGAGCCCGAGAGCCGGCCCGATGACACTGAGCTGTCCCCATCCCGGGCGTCCGGGCCTGCGGACCACACAGGCAGGCTGTGGGCCTTCCCCTGGGGGCCTGGCTCCTTGAGGTCATCAGACCCAACCATGTGGAAAGCTGCCCACGGCAGGTCCGGCTGCCAGGAGGGCCTGGGCCACCTCAAGGCCGCCATGTCATCCTTGGCTGCAGGTGCACGGAACCTGGGAGGGAGCAGCAGACACGATGGTCAGGCTCACAGGTGCAGAGGTGCCCAGCAGAGCCGCTCAGACCAGCCCTACCTCCCCGGGCATCCCTGCGCCTGCAGACTGGAGGCAGAGAGGAGGGAGCAGCATTCTCTCTCGGACCCTGACCACACCCCTCTGAGGCAGGTGATGTGATTGGCCCAATTTACAGATGGAGAAACTGAGTCTCAGAGAGACCAGGCCTCATGCCCAAAGGCAGCGCAGAGGCAGGTGCAGCACTCTGACCCCATACCCTTGTACCTTGCACAGATCTGCTGCCTCCTGGGGCAGCCATGGAGTCTGGCCACAGTGCAGCCCCCGCCCGAGTCCACACAGACGCTACCTGGGCTTGGCCCCAGCCTCCCAGTTGGCTGCTCTCACGGGGGCCACATGGGAGAAGGGGCCCTGCCTTGGGCTGTCCTCAGGGCCAGGCTGAGACGTGTCCCCCAGGTGGGTGGGCAGCGTGCCCACAACCAGGGTTGGCATGGCCACAGGGCCGAGGGTGAGCAGGTGCAAGGCCAGCCCCACCCGCCCTACCTGGGGTGGCTCGTGCCTTCACATGGCAGCTGCCAGGCCTACAGCCCCGCCTACAGCCCTGCCCGGGGTGGGCTGGCCACTGCGTGGCTCTGGATGCCCGCCTGTGCCAGTCCCCTGGCCCACGATGGAAGCTGTCAGGTGGGTCATTGAAATTGGGCTGGCACGGTGGGCTGCCCGGCCCTGGGCTGCCACAGCTGGGGACTTCCAAATGAGTTGTCTCCTGGTGGGGCGGGGGAGAGTTCCGGCTGGCCCGTGACAGCATAATAACCTTGTCACTCAGCGACAGAGCTTGGGCCTTCAGCTCCTGCTGGGACTCTCAGCGGCCCCCACCCGGTCCTCCCAGGCCCAGAATGAGACAAAGGGAGGGACTGTGGCCGGGCTGCGCCTGTGAGCTCAGTGTTGGGCAGTGTTCCGGTTGGCGGGGGTGGGGCCAAACCCCAGGTCAGGGTCAGGCTTCATTCAATCCCAGGCACAGAGGTCCCGGCAGCTACGGAGCCCCGCCCAGACATCCCAACAGATGCACATCAGCCGCTGTCTCTTGGTTCCATGGGGCAGGGCAGGGGAGGGGGCCTTGGTTTACGGGCTCACCCTGGTGCAAGCCAGGTCACCCTTTGCCTGCAGTGACGGTGGCAGAGATGCCAGGTGCTGCCTCAGGCCAGGAGCACCCGTCAGCCTCCTCGGCCCCTGCACACCTGGGTGGGGCCCTGGCAGGGCAGTGTGGTGGGAAGGACACAGCCCTGTGGTCCCCGAGGGGAAGCTTGGACTCAGATCCCAGTTCCCTCCCAGCTCCCGCCCCACCCTCACTGGCAGTGCGACCTGGTAGCCTGCGAACCCACCCCACTGCCTCTGGGGATTGCACTCGCCTGGCTGGTGAGTTTACCCCTGCAGGGGACGGGGGGTGGTATGCAGCTGAGGTCAGGCTGAACACAGATTTGTTCCAGGAGTGGCCCTTAAGGTGTCCCCAGAGAAGAGGGGTCTGCAACAAAAGACCCCACAAGTCTAGGCAGGCATGAGGGATGGAGGCCCTCCTCCAGGCTCACTCCATGGAACCTGTCCTCGGGAACCGAGGTGCAGACGCCTGGAGACGCCACCCAAGCCCAGCCCCACATAGACCCAGGCCCAGAGAAGGCTCCGAGCCAAACAGGCTGGTCATCAGCAGGCACAGCCACGGGCATCCAGGGCACAGAGGCCGAGCCATCGGCAGTCTTGGAGGGGAAGCAGAGAGGAGCCACCCAAGCACAAGCAGGCCCTGCCCGTCCTGTGAGGTGCGGCCAGCTCCACCCCCACCCTGCCTGGCTGGACCCTCCTCGCACCAGGGAATGAGCTCATTGCTGCGACAAGACAGTGACAAGGATGGCCCTCGGGCTGCCACGTCTGGGGTGTTACCAGAAGCTTCAGGGGACACGTGGGGTGACACGGGGACCCCACCAGCCTCAGAGCCTGGACAGCTCTCAGGCGCCCAGAATGCAGCTCCGCTTCCAGCCCCCTTCCATTCCCACAGAGCCTCGCGATGCCTGGTGGGGTCAGGGGGTCCCTCTGCAGCCTCCGTGCCCCTGGGCAATCCGAGTGACTCACAGGCCTGGCCCCTTTGCTGACAGGTCGGCACCTCCCTGCCAGGCCTTCAGGGTCCCAAATCAGCAGTGGTCCTGGGCTCTCAGTCCTGCTCCCATAAAGGGACAGGGGCAGGGCCCTCCCGAGCAGAAGAGTCCAGGCTTGGTGGCTCCCTTTTTCCCATGAGCAGAAAAACCAGCCCCCCAGCCGCTCAGCAGCTGCCTGGACGCCCTGGAAGAAGCTGCATCATAAACACACAGCACGGCCCTGGAAGTGCAGGACTGTGATGGGAACAAAATCACGACAGCAAACATATGGGAACAGAAAAGCAAACCCAGCGAGCAGAGCATCACGAGGTCCCGTGCGTGGCCCCCACCACCAGCTTCCTTCCTTCTCCTGCCCACCCGCCCTGGGGACAGCTGAGCTCCTGCTCCCTTGGCCTGGCCACCAGCTGATGCTTCCAGATGCGGCTCTGAATCAGGAGATGCATGTCAGCTCCCGAAGGCAGGTCTACCTGTCCAGGACCCTCTACCAATGTTGTCCGTGCCATGGGGACCACTCACAGCCCACACCAGCTGGCACCCCTTCCCTGCCCCCAGGAGAATCACACCTGCTGGGGTACAAGGCTCGGGGCTGCTCTGCATGGGGTGGGCAGGAGCAGCAAGGCTCTGAGGAGGCCGTTGGGCAGAGGCTGCAGCTGGTCAAGGGGTGTCTCCTGGGCAGGCCAGGCCTGCCCTGTCCCCAGCAGCACGGAGCCCTGCAGCCAGGCCCAGTCAGCCACATCCCCGCCCCACTCCAGGCCTAGCTGGATCTATGCCCATTCAGACCCTGTGCCTCGACTCCTGGCCCCTCCGAAGCCACCCCGCTCCCTCCACCTCCACCCACCGTGCTCCAGTCCGGCTCGGTGAGGCACACGCAGCTCCTCTCCCCGGCCTCCCTCCCTGGGGGACAGTCCCCTGGGGGCAGGAGGCAGCCTTGCCCACAGCACACACTGGCGTGCAGATGCTCGTCGCTGGAAGAGCATTCCGAGGCCCCCAGTGCACTGGGCGCCGGCCGTGCCAAGAGCTTGATGATCTCTGACGCCATCTCAGGGCCATCCCCCAAGGGAAGTACAGGTGCGACCTCCACTTAACAGTCCAGGGTCCCAGCAGGGTCAGCAGGCCGGGCGTGCCATGCCATCCTACACCTGCCATGTCCCCACGGCCAGGAAAGAGCGGCAGCCACCTGGCAACCACGCTTCTTGGCGGGAGGGGCCAGGAGGAAAAGCCCACAGAAGAGCCACACTCTCCCCTTCCCCACAACTGTCAGGCCGGAGGCCAAGAGCCCGGCTCACAGACACAGGGCTGTCTCCGAGGCTGGTGACGTTGGCCAGTCGTCCAACCCTCTGGGCCCGAATTTTCCATTCTGTAAAGTGGGCAGAGCACCAGTCCCTACTGCTAGGGCTCCCGGGGGTCGGAGGACACTGGGAGGGAGCAGGGCCGCACCTCTGTCCTCAAAGGGCAGCACAGCCCCAGGAAAGGAAGCGGCAGGTTTCCAGGGCCCAGGACAAGCCCTGCCAGCAGCACCAGCTCTCGGGATGAGGACGCCTGGGCGCCGTGGGCTCCGCACACCCGAAAGCACATGCCTTCCTGTGATACGCAACACACAGCACACACACCACATGCTACACACAACACACACAGCACATACACAGCACAACACATAAAAGTACACACAACACGCATACCACACACAAAGCACAAACACACTGCATGCACCACGTACCACACAACACACATTATACACACAGCACAAACACACAACGCACACAGACATACCACACACCAGACACACACCACACCACACACAACACACTCAACACACGCACCACACACACGCAGACAACACACATCACACAGAGAGACATACGACACACAACACAACAGGAACACCACATGCCACACACAATGTACAACATACACATACAACACACGTCACACATACCACACACACACCACACACACCACAAGCACAACACACACCATACACAGCAGACACACATCACACACAGACATACCACACACCAGACACACCATAACACATTCAACACACACTGCACACACCCAGACACACAACACACACAACGCAAAACAGAAACACCACATGCCACACACAATGCACAACACACACAACACACATCTCACACACATCACACACACCATACACACACAGACACACATCACACATACACCACACACAACATATAGAAACACACACTACACACATCACACAACACACAGACATACAACACATACTTCACACACAAACACAACACACAGACAATACGCATCACACATACAATACACAGACAATGCACACACAACACAGAGACACACAACACAGTCACACAGTCACACATTACATAACAGACAACACACAAACCACACAACACTTATAAACATATATAACACATACACACAATACACATCACACACAAACACACCACATGCAGACATAAAAACACACTTACAGACATGCAACACACATCACACACAGACACACACACACACACATCACATACTTTTTTTTTTTGAGACGGAGTCTTGCTCTGTCACCAGGCTGGAGTGCAGTGGCACAATCTTGGCTCACTGCAACCTCTGCCTCCCGGGTTCAAGCGATTCTCCTGCCTCAGCCTCCCAAGTAGTTAAGATTACAGACACGGCCGGGCGCGGTGGCTCACGCCTGTAATCCCAGCACTTTGGGAGGCCGAGGCGGGTGGATCACGAGGTCAAGAGATCGAGACCATCCTGGTCAACATGGTGAAACCCCGTC